GACACGCCACACCCGAGAGGTACAGAGACCACTTGGCCGCGGTCGTCGACACAATCACAGCCAAAAACCCCGTCCCAATCATCAGCACTGCACACACACGCACACAAACAGAGAGAGACGTGGGATGGGTGTGTGTGTCTTGGTGGATCGCTCACTGACCGTCGAGTGTGCAGAGGGCGACGATGGGCTTCCACGACACGCCAGCGAACAGCAGAATGTCAACCTGCACACAGACACAGAGAGACGTCCACCCACCTGTGTGTCTGTGAGTGTGAGTGTGGTACCAGCAGCAGCAGTGTGGTGACGAGCCAGTCGGCATATCGGCCGTAGTAGAGCTCGCGCCCGCCGACAGCCGTCACGCCGTAGCCCAACGACATGAGCACGTACGCCGCGCCAGCGATGGCCACGATGGAAGTCGTCAGCACGCCGCACACACGTGGCGGCCCGCTTGCAGAAGGCGCTCTTCGGCAGCTTGAAGGCACCCGTTGAGCGTGTGGGCGCCCAGCGATCACCCGTGCCGTTGTCATGGCGATGGGCAGCAGACACGCCACACCCGAGAGGTACAGAGACCACTTGGCCGCGGTCGTCGACACAATCACAGCCAAAAACCCCGTCCCAATCATCAGCACTGCACACACACGCACACAAACAGAGAGAGACGTGGGATGGGTGTGTGTGTCTTGGTGGATCGCTCACTGACCGTCGAGTGTGCAGAGGGCGACGATGGGCTTCCACGACACGCCAGCGAACAGCAGAATGTCAACCTGCACACAGACACAGAGAGACGTCCACCCACCTGTGTGTCTGTGAGTGTGAGTGTGGTACCAGCAGCAGCAGTGTGGTGACGAGCCAGTCGGCATATCGGCCGTAGTAGAGCTCGCGCCCGCCGACAGCCGTCACGCCGTAGCCCAACGACATGAGCACGTACGCCGCGCCAGCGATGGCCACGATGGAAGTCGTCAGCACGCCGCACACACGGGCCGCAGACTTACTGTAAGTCAACCAGCCGAACACAACTCCTGACGACACAACACAACACAGCACAGAGACAGACAGACATTGTGTGTCTCACTCTCGGTGTGTCTGTCTGTCTGTGTCTCACCGGATGTGAGCATTGCGATGGCGGTGAGTACGAGGACGGCCGTGCCGATCAGGGTGTGGTAGCTGGCCTGGCGCATCTTGCTCAAGGCATCCATCACCTCA